TATAGTCTGGAAAATATACCACAAGGCTATTTATGAATATAAATATATTATAACAAAAAGGGCCAAACGTTAGGAATGTAGAAATATCTTTTGTACTCATTTGAATAATTATTACTACCGGTAAGTAGAAATTTTCCATTCAGTAATCTGGAAAGCACATACATGTTAAGAAATGTTGAATAAACCTGTGCCTTCCCTATATTGTACTCTCCTAATAATTTACAATATCTAGAAAAAGTGCAACATGACCTAGCAATTACATTTCTCAAGTTCGTACCAACAAATGAATAACCTTGTTTTGAACATGTAAAGAAATTTCCCACATAAACACACACACATACTCCAGGTCATGCAGAACACCACAGTTACTGTCACAGTGATAAAAGAATGTTGAAGTCTCACCACACGTATCTAGAGCAGGTACAGCGAATGCATTAAAAAGGGGCAGTTGCATGGTCAATACATGTATATACATCAATCATATCACCAATAAAGTCATTCAAATGTTAGCATAAACTGAAGTGTTGACTACAGACAGAACAAGGGAAATCGTAGATTTCAAACCTCCGGGTTTTTTTGTGTTCTATTGGTTTAGGTTATTTGTTTGTGTGTAGTATGAAAGTTATGTGCGTAATATGTTTGTATGTGTTTGATGGCTACCGACGGTTGGTTCGGTATGGACTGTTGATTAACGTGTCTCACAGTCTGACAGCCTGCACCGTCACCCGCGCCATTACCCCCGCCGTCATCCCGCGCCGTCATTGCTGCGCCGTCACCCAAAATTTTTATCGGAACCAGACACCCCTCTGTTTGACCCCTTTTGAATGCTAAGACCCAAAACTGCAACAGCCCCATTCCTTAACAACATGGTAATTACCATTTTCAGCATGGCGGGGGTGTCCGGAGCACTTAAAAACCTTTTATTTCGACGCCCATAAACACATATGCAATTAAACAAAAACGTTCTGCATCATCTGCAGCCCAATAGCAATACGTATACCGAACC